ACCAACGCACCGGCAACCTTCCAAGTCGAAATGAACCACATTCTACGCCCACTCTTGGACGAATGCGTGGTGGTGTACTTGGACGACATCCTCATCTACTCGTGCGACACGAAGCAGCACGTCGAACACCTGCGACGCGTCTTCGACATTCTTCGACGGGAACGTTTCTACGCCAAATTATTCAAGAGCGAATTCGCCCTCAAGAAGGTCCAATTCCTAGGACACATAGTGAGCACTCAAGGAGGTCACCTTGACCCCAAGAATATCAAAGTCGTACGCACGTAGAAGATGCCTGAGAACGTGAAGGAGTTACAGCAGTTTCTCGACTTCGGTAATTATTACAACAGGTTCGTGCCACAGTATGTGAAAATCGCCGCACCACCCACGAATCTGCTGAAGAAAAATACGCCCTACAAACGGGAATCAAAACAGCTGGAGGCCATGGAGCAGCTAGAACAGGCACTCACGTCCGCAGCAATACTCATCTTGCCAGACCCTGACCGCGACTATGCCATCGAAGCTAACGCCAGTGACCATGCAATGGGAGCAGTCTTGATGCAAGACCAAGGGAATTAACTGCAACCAATCGCCTATCTCAGCAAGAAACTACACGGGGCAGAACTAAATTATTTGATACACGACAAGGAGGCCCTTGATATAGTCATCGCCTTTAAGACATGGAGATGCTACCTCGAAGGACGAAAAACGATCGTCTACACCGACCACTGCAGCCTGAAATATTTGAAGACACGGCCAAATCTCTCCAGTCGACAGGTCCGGTTTAATGACTTCCTCGGGACATACTTCCACTACGACATCGTGTACAAACCGGGACACAAGAACAAAACAGACGCTCTCAGTTGGCTTGCATACGTTGCCGCTATCCAGGTCGAAGGGATGAATTCGCTACTCACGGGACACTTCACATACGGGTACACCATCGACCCCGAGATTCCCTTGGCAGAGAAGCAACATCTTCTATAGTGGGACAGTGACATTGCGTACCGGAAAGGATCAACGAAAATCTGGGTACCCAACCACCCACCTTTGTGCCAGTTACTACTCGAAGTATACCACGATGTCTTGTACGCCAGACACTTCGGTAGCAACAAAACGCTCACCGGTATTGCAAAGCAATACTTTTGGCCCTACGTGGCAGATGACGTACAGAATTTCGTCACCCCATGCGACACATGTCAGCGGATGAAGAGCTGTAAGCAGAAGAAAGCAGGACTGCTACAGCCTCTTCGTGCCCCTGGATAGCCATGGCAGGTGGTGACCTTGGACTTTATAACCGGGTTACCGACCACCACTAACGGTCATGACGCAATCCTTGTTGTCATTGAAAATTTCTCCAAAATGGGACATTTCATCACGACACACATGACAGCATGCACCGAGGAGACGGCACAAGTGTGCGTTTGCTACATCATCGCTCAGATGGGCATTCCGACCACACTCATCTCCGACCGAGACCCTAAGTTCACCAGCAAGTTCTGGAAGGAATTAATGTCTCTGCTCGGGACCAAACTCGCCATGTCATGTGCATATCATCCACAGACAGATGGACAAACCAAACGCATCAACCAAACCAAACTCCTCCCCGCAGCATGCAAAGACGATATCTCTAAATGGGGCATGCATCTACCCGTCTTGCAGTTTGCCTACAACAACGCCACCCATGCCGCAACCGGACCGACACCATTTTTCTTCTGTTACGGACGCAACCCCCTTATACCACAGAAACCGACAACACCAGCGACAGTTCAACTCGCACACGATTTCATCGCCACCATGCATCAGCTTTGGGATCAGACTCATAAGAGCCTCATCGATATTCAGCAGCAAAAGAAACGCCAGGCTGATCGCCACCGCAATGAACATACCATTACCGCAAAAGACCGTATTCTACTCGACACCCGCAATCTCAACATCAGCCACCTCCCATCAAAATTGCGACCTCACTTCTGCGGGCCCTTTCTCGTTGAAGCACAAGTCACCCCCGTAATCGCTTAAGCCTGCCTGCCACCTGGAAGATTCACAACGCCTTCCATGTCCAACTCCTGAAACCCTACCGAGATCCCAACTCGATCTTCACTGGGCGCCAACCGCCATCACCGCCACCCATCCTCGTCCCTGATAAACCCGAGTATGAGGTCAAGTCTGTGCTTGCCCACCGCTGTCGTCGGCGTGGCACCCTGGAGCTTCTCATCCGTTGAAGGGTTATGATCCTTCTCACGATAGCTAGGTCTCTGAAACTGATAGGGGTAACGCTCGTCGTCCTCTTCGCGACTACCTTGTCAAGCAGGGTATTACTTCTACCACCCAGCTTTGAGGAGGGGAAGTGTGAGAGTACGACCCTGTTATAATCCTTTCACATTTCTATATTTCGTCCCTATCTCATTCTCCTTTTTATCCTGATTCATTTGGTCTTTATCTCATCTCATCTAGTTCCCTATTCCTCATTTTCCATTATCCTTTGGTTTATCTTGTTATTGTAATTATATCACTGACCAGGCTCGGCATGTACTGGCGCACTATATCTAGCATAATCCTGCTGTAATCCCTTAAAGTCAATAGCACCGCGTGGCTGTACGTAGGGTGATTCTATTTATAGAAGGGTCTATTCCCGCTAGACAGGATAAACCTGGTTACCTGATGTACCTTAGAAGTATAAAAGCGCCTTGTGTCGATCGATAGTGCAACTTTCTCTCGACCATTTCGATCTTGTGACACTCTCAGGGTTACTATTTTAGTCTTGGTGCTGGTGCAGTCTCGTGGAGGTTCATTAGGTCGTCCTCTGTAGCTCAGTCTAGTAGTGAGGCAGAGATCTACGCTGGGGCCATGGCCGCTCAGGAGCTCCGCTGGCTGTCGTTTTTGCTGAGTGACTTACGTGAGCAGCCTAGGTTTGCCCCGGACTTGTTTGCTGACAACAGGGCCATGATCCTCCTATGTCAAGAGGCTCGACTTGGGGGCAGGGCGAGGTATATCCTGTTGCGGTACTTCTTGCTGCGTGATTTGCAGCAGCGCGGTCAGGCTCCTGTAGGGCCAACACCGCTGATATCTTCACGAATGCACTACCACCTCGTGACCATCAGCGGTTTTGTACTCAGCTTGGACAAGTCTTAGTAGCAGCACCGCTCCTTGTATCCTGGTACATACTATACCTGCTTGTACTTGCTTTGCTATAACTGCTTGTCTTGTTACACTTGTTGACTGGCCTTGTGGCATCTTATCTTAGTGGACAAACTAGTAGTGCTGCCCTAGTGTGTGGTCTGCCTTGTTAAAACTGCCACTATCTAGGCTAGGGGGTGTGTCAACAAAGATACATGTATATGTGTTAGTTAGGTTATATTTGTTATAGCCTAGCTAGGTTAGTTCTTCGAGGGTACCATACCCACTCTTGTACTCTCTCGACATTTTTCCTTAGTCACTTTTTTCTGCGATACTTTGACAGCATGGGCCAAGGACCAGTCAGTAACAGAGGAGCAGCTGGGTGCCCGAGTGGAGGGAGTGGTGGGCCTCACTGCCAACACCGCCACCAATCGCAGGCTTTCCAGCATTCACATCAGCAGCATGGGCAATGGTGCCAGCAGCAGCAGCAGCACCAGCACCAGCAAGCAGTTAGAGATTGTCGGGCAGCAGCCCATCAGCATCAGCTGCAGCCTATCTGGCCAGAGCGCTCATTCTGCTGGTGCAGGCAGCGTCGTGCGAGAAAGGTGCAATGGAGCGATAGGAGGGTGGCATCATGATAGGCGTGTGATGCTCATGTGTTGTGGCTAGAGCAAGGGGGTTGCATTGAAGCATAGGGTTGAGCATGTGCGCGTTGCATGCCATACGGCTCACTGTAGGCAGCAATTTGGTCTCCAAGCCCTCCCCCCACTCTCTGCCCCCCCGCCCCCACCCCCCCGCCACTCCCACCCTTTCATCAAATTCATTTCAGAATCCCTCCGGATCCGCTCTCTCCGCAGCTGGCTGAAGCACACCCTGCTCGCGACCTCCCAGTGCCGCCCGCCAGCACTCCCGGCAAGTTCCTCCCCTTCCTCCCGCTGCCGCTCTCCTTCCGCAACGTGTGCTACTGGGTCGACACGCCCCAAGCCATGCGCTCCCTGGGGAGCGACACACCCTCTTGCCTGCAGCTCCTGCGCAACGTTTTTTGCACCTTCCAGCCGAAAGTGCTCACAGCCTTGGTGGGGGTGACAGGGGCGGGGAAGAGCACCCTCATGGACGTGCTCGCAGGGAGGAAGACCGGCGGGTACATTGCGGAGGATGTGCGGGTGGCGGGGCACCCCAAGGTGCAGTCGACGTTTGCTCTCGTGGCGGGGTACGGCGAGCAGAGCGACATCCACTCGCCGCAGGTGATGGAGCTCGAGCTGCTGCTCTTCTCTGCATGGCTACGCCTGCCGGCTGACACTGGTAGGGATGCACGGGAGGTGTGTGAGGAGGGTGTGAGGGGAGGGTAGGGAGAGGGGTGTGGGGGAGAGGAGTGAGGAAGGGGTGCGAGAGAGAGGTGTGAGGGAGAGGAGTGAAGGAGAGGAGTGAGGGAGGTGCTGGTATCTCCACTCGCACCTCTCAAGCCTCGACTTACCTCTCCTATGTGGGACGTCTCAGATATCTCTTGTTCCTCTACCCTTTCACCCTTTCCCCCCCTTTTTCGAAGCGCCTAACGATCTCACCCCTCTAGCCTCAGCCTTTCCCATCTGTTCCCTCCCCCGCTCCCGTGGCCAGGATTCTGGAGGTGGTGAAGCTGGTAAACTAAGGCATGCTGAGGGCCGCGCTGGTGGCATCTTGCACCTTCCCCTTTCATCTCTTTCCCGCCTGCCGACTCCCTTTGGTCCCCTCCCTCCCACATCTGCTCCCGTGGGCAGGAATTCGTGGGGGAGGTGGTGCGGCTGGTGGAGCTGGTCGTGCTGAGGGATGCACTGAAGGGTTGTTGAGTCCAGTCACAGCAACCCACCGTCTATCTTCCTCCCTCCATCACTCTTTGGTCTCCTCCTGTACTTCCCACCAGGAGGTGATGCGGCTGGTGGAGCTGGACGCGCTGAGGGGCGCACTGGTGGGGCTGGCGGGGGTGAGCGGGCTGTCCACGGAGCAGAGGAAGCGCCTCACCATCGCCGTGGAGCTGGTGGCCAACCCCTCCATCATCTTCATGGACGAACCCACCTTAGGTAACACTTGCCTGTCACGTGAGAGAGACCTCCCCCCAACTGGCATGGACGGGCTGTCGGCGGGGCAGAGGAAGCGGCTGACCCTTGGAGTGGACTTTGGATCTGGTGGCCAACCCCCCCATCATCTTCACGGACGAACCCACCTCAGGTGCCGCCTGTTTGCCTGCCTGTCCCAGGTAGCACCTATTTTAGGGGGTGAGTGGGCTATCAACGGAGCAGGGGGGGGAAGGAATTGTAGTGCACCTCTGGCACCGTCCATGTCCCTCGGGTGTGCACGTGGGGGCGGAGGACGGAGCAGGGGGGGGGGAAGGAATCGTGGTGCACCTCTGGCACGTGGGTGTGCAGTGGCAATAGTGATGCTGCAGATGGTGTTGAGTTGAGACGGCTCAAGCCCCATTCCTCCCCTATACTCTCTCCCCTCGCAGGTCTGGACACGAGGGCAGCAACGATTGTGATGCGCACGGTGCGCAGCACGGTGGATACGGGCAGAACTTTGGTGTGCACCATCCACCAGCCGTCCACCGATATCTTTGAGGCCTTTGATGAGGTGCACTGGGCGCTGCTCCAATCTCACTCACTCTCATGCCGTGCCATGCCGTGCTGGGCATGCCCCACTGAGGACTCCTTGCTTGGACCTTGCTCGCAAGAAGAAGCCTTGCCAGTGCCGTGCCGAGGAGAGGGCGTGCTTTTCCGCCGCCTGTGGCCTCGCCGTTCTTCTTCACAATGCCGTATCGTGCCATCCTCAGCTACTTGCGTCTGCAGAGAAACTGGTTGGGTTGCATTGTTTCGTGCCTGCATGTTTGGATGGGTGTGGTGGCATGAACCATGCTGGACCCACCTTTCCTTTCATGGTTCTTTCCTTTCTTACTGCAGCTGCTTCTGATGAAGATAGGAGGAGAGGTTGTTTCTATGGGGCCTCTGGGTGTCAAATCAAAGCATCTCATGGACTATCTTGAGGTATGTACGTTTTGTTTCTTACTTCGAGATATGGCTTCTGGTTTCTAACTTCGAGGTGTGGTATCTGATTTCTTGCTTTGAGATATGGTGTCCTATGTGATATCTTGGGGTGCCACGTCTCATGCGTTTTCCCTCCCTTCGCCTCCCTTCTCTCCTCTCTCTCCTCGCTCCGTCCCTCCCCTTTCCTCCCCATTCGTACCCCACCCCCTCCCACCCCTTACGTTTTCCTCCCTTCCCTCCCCTCCCTCCCCTCCTCACATGCTAGGCGATACCCGGAGTGCCCCCCATTCCTGAGGGATACAACCATGCCATGTGGATTCTGGAGGTTACGGCACCTGCTGCTGCAGAGCGCATTGGGGCCGATTTTGCTGAAACGTTCAGGAATTCCCAGCTGTTCAGGTGGATCTTCGGAGGCTCGCATGTGTTCCGGTGAACAAGTAGGGGCTGTTTCTGCGCAGGAACAATGACGCTCTCATCGGCACTCTCTCCGCTCCCCCTCCTGGCTCCGCACCTCTGCGCTTCCCCATGCGCCAGGGCCACCTCCTTTCTCACGCAGCTGCGCAACAACCTCTGGAAGCGCGCGCTCATGTACTGGCGCGCCCCGGATTTCAACGCCGTGCGCTTCTTCCTCGCAGCTTCCATGTCCCTCGTGATGGGCACAGTGATGTTTGGCTTCGGCCGCCACCACTCCAGGCAGCAGGAGGTGCTCAACGTCATGAGCTTTTCAGGTGAATCTTCAGAGGCCCGCATGTGCTCAGGTGATCAAGTAGGAGCTGTTTCTGCTCAGGTGAATATGCAGGAGTTCTCATCTTTTTAGCTGAATGCAAAGGAACTTTGCGTATTCAGATAGGAATTTCTAAGCTAGCAGATGTCCAGGTGCTATGCATTTTACACACCTCTCCTTGCAGCCCGCTCCTTCCAATTCTTCCCTGTCATGCCTCTTGTAACTCTCACTCCCAAATCTCGCGCAATCCACCACTCTCTTCCTTCGCCCATCACTGCCGCTCTGCCGTCCTCTTCATTCTCCAACCCTCCTGCCCTCACCCCACCTCCCTCTTTCCCTCGCCGCTTCTCCCCCCACCCTCCCCCCACCCTCCCCCCACCCTCTTCTCACCCCTCCAGGAACAATGATGCTCTCATCGCCACTCTCTGCGCTTCCCCACGCGCCACGCCACCTCCTTTCTCATGCAGCTGCGCGCCAACCTCTGGAAGCGCGCGCTCATGTACTGGCACGCCCGGGATTTCAACGCCGTGTGCTTCTTCCTTGCAGCTTCCATGTCCCTCGTGATGGGCGCAGTGATGTTTGGCTTCGGCCACTACCACTCCACGCAGCGGGAGGTGCTCAACGTCATGGGCGCCCTCTACATGGCCTCGCTGCTCATGGGCTGGAAGGCTCCCACCTCCTTCCAGCCCATGCTGTGCACCGAGCACACTGTGTTCTACTGCGCCAGCCACAGGGCTGTACGGCTCGCTGCTGTATGCCTTGGCGCAGGGAGCGACAGAGTTTTCATACGTGCTGTTGGAGTCGCTTCTCTTCTGCTCCATCACCTACGTGCTGCTGGCCCTGGAGTGGACATCCGCCAATTTCTGCCAATACGTGGCATTCACATTCCTCACGCTGCTGTGCTTTGTGTGCTTTGGCATGATGGCGGTGGCCGTGACGCCCAATGAGATGCTCGCTGTGGTGTTCAGCGGGTTCGTTGCCAAACTCTGGAACATCGTGTGTGGCTTCCTCATTCCCAAACCGGTAAGCCTACCCGAATAACGCGGCAAGTGTCAGGCTTTTCAAGCGCCCGTCTACCAGCCGATCATACCAGAAGAGGTATCAAGCATTCCATGTGGCTCTCGGAACTTGCAGACAGTGGACTTTAGAACAGGCCCCTACCTGGACATATCGTCAGATCCACAAAGTCATGTGCTTATCCCCACACCTATAGACTGTGTCTCCATGTGCTGTGTCCGCAGGGCTGCTGCAATTCCACCATGCACGGCATTCATTAAGGGATGCACTGATCATTCAACACACATGCCCTTGCCATTCCATGTGTGTGGCTTTGTGTGTATGGGCATGCAGGCTTGTTTCCAGGAAATTCCGGCCTGGTGGAGCTGGTTCTACAACATAGACTCCATTGCATGGTCGCTCTACGGCCTCATCACCTCGCAGGTCTGTTGGTCGAATCCTCACCTCTCAGGCCTCTCAGGCCTCTCAGGCCGCTTTGGATGCTCTCTCTCTCTGCATTGTCACAATCACATGAACTTTCTGTCCTCTGCTCCCTCCATGGTGTAACAACCAAGGCACAGCAACACCGGTGCATGCATGTGCATGGCAGCAGTGGTGCATGGATGTGGATGGATGGCAACAGTGGTGCACACATACACACGTGCTGATTGAATTTCATGTCCCCCGCTCGCACCGTAGCCTGCGCTCTTCCGCGCCTCTTAGCGTCCACACCTCTGCTTAACACGCCGGCTACTGCCTCTGCCTGATGTGGACCTCTCTCTCTATGCGTCTCCCCACCCCCCTATCTCCCAACCCTCCTCGCCACCCCACCCGCCTCTCCCCCCCCCCTCCACTTTCTCCCCCTCTCACCCACCCCTGCCTCAAACCTTCCATCGTCTCGTCGTCCTCCACTCAATGATTCAGCTGAGTGACGTTCAGGGCCTCTTGCAAGTGACAGGAGCGCCAGTTCAGATCACCGTGCAGCAGTACCTCCACACATATCTGGGCTACCAACGGTCCTGCATTGGATGCGCCTGTCTCATCCTCGGTGGCTTCACTGCACTCTTCTTCATTGTCTTTGCAGTGGCCCTGAAAGACATCAACTTCCAAAACTGCTAGCAGCGCTTTTTGTCACAATATTCCGACTGACTGGATGTTCTGGGCTCGCTCGAGCAGGTGTACAACCGCTGGGAATATCTGGGCATGCTACAAGGGGTATTATCAGAGACAGGACGCAGGCGAGAGTGGGCTGAGAGTGTTTTGAGGTAAGGAGACAGGAACAGGCGGCAGCGGCCTGACGGGGGACCGATTGCGACAGCCAAAGCGCAAGGAAAGGGAGGGTGGGAGGGAGGGAGTGACTCGGTGATGCTTTTGCTTTCAAGGAAACTTGAGGGACCAGCTTGATGGAGTACGTACGTTCTAGGATAATGCAGCATGGCAATGATCAGTTTGATCAGATGCCAGTATGAATTACGTACTGTATGTACTTGGGTAACAGCCCCAACGGGCTTACGGTTTCTCAACCCTGTGAAAATCAAGGAGCTCGTTGTGATGTTTTGTCAAGCAGATGTCAATGCTGTGAATAACTAGATGCAGACCGAATCGTGGCAGCCACAACACGAGAAATTGGGGCGGGGATTCCTCTACTGATAACCCGTATCAGTTCTCGCCTGCAGAAACCAATCGATGCACTCGCCCTGTTCGTACAAGATACCATGAGAGTACTGTGGCTTTGGATGGGATTCTACACCGGCCACTGAGCCAGGCTCTTGCAATCAGCACATGGTCCCCCCGCCCTCCCATCCCCACGCCCTACCAGCGGACCTTCCTGGGCTTGGACTTCTTGCAGGCAAGGAGCGGTTTCCCACAAAGCTTGGGGTTGCCGGGGCGGAAGCAGGACAGGGGCAGGTCGGAGAGGGGCTGGGGAACAGAGCCGGAGAGGGCGTTGCCAGCCAGCTGCACGTGCAGGGAGGGGGCTGCCGCCCGCAGCAGCGCAGGGATGGCTCCTGACAGTCCGTTCCACGACAGGTCCAGGGCTTGCAGGGCCTTCAGAGATGCCACGCCTGCAGGGATGCTGCCGCTCATGCGGTTGCGTGCCGCTACCAACGAGTGCAGTGCTGTGAAGCGCGAGAGGGAGGAGGGGAGCGAGCCTGAGAGCTGGTTGCTGGAGATGTTAAGAGAGAGAAGGGAGGAGGTGCAGGGGGAGGAGGGGAAGAGGAGGGAGGAGAGGGGGCCGGAGAATGCGTTGGAGGAGAGGAGCAGAGTGGCGAGGCGCTGATGGCCCCTGCACAAGGCAGGCAGGGAGCCCTTAAGCTTGTTGCGAGAGAGGTCCAGGTGGGTGAGCGCGGGGGCGAGGGTGAGAGAGAGGGGCAGCGAGCCCGACAGCAGGTTGCTGCGCAGGGAGAGGTGCGCGAGGGAGGAGAGGGAGGACGCGAGGAGAGGGGGAATGGCGCCGGAGAGGAGATTATAGGAGAGGTCCAGCTGGGAGAGAGGGAGAAGGGGCGAGCTCTGGCTGCTCCCCTGGGGTGGGTTTGGGATGGGGCCAGAGAGCTGGTTGTGAGAGAGGTTCAAGTGGGTCAGAGCAGTAAAGCTGACAAGTAGGGCATTGGAGATGTTCCCTGTGAGCCGATTAGAAGAGAGGTCCAAGAGAGAGAGAGGGAAAACGGAGGACTTCTGTGAGGTGCCTTGTGGTGGAATTGGAATGGGGCCGGAGAGCTGGTTGTGGGAGAGGTTTAAGTGGGTCAGGGCAGTGAGACTGGTGACCAGAGCGCTAGAGATGTTTCCCGCGAGCTGATTATAGGAGAGGTCCAGGTGGGAGAGAGGGAGTAGGGGCGAGCTCTGGCTGCTCCCCTGGGTTGGTTCAGGGATGGGGCCGGAGAGCTGGTTATGGGAGAGGTCGAGCAGGGCGAGGCAGGAGGAGAAGACAGACCCAGGAACACTCCCAGTCAGCGCATTGTGGCCCAGCCAAACCTCTGCACCACTCTGCACCGCACTGCATGTGCCTGAAGCTTGTGGTGCAAACGGGAGGTGCTTTTCGAGAACGATGGTGCCGTTGAAAGCGTTGAAGGAGAGGTCCAGATAGGTGAGTCTCGTGATCCCACTGCTCTCTCCTAAAGCAGGCAGGGCCCCAGTTATGGCGTTGTGAGACACGTCCAGAGCGCTCAAGCTAACCGCCTGCAAGGCACCGATGCTGCTCAATCTGTTCCAGCTCAAATTCAGGTGCTGCAGCCCCTGGTGGGCCTCTGGAATCCCCCCTTCCAGCTGGTTGTGGGAGAGGTCACAGCGTTGCAGGTGGGTGCTGAGCACAGGAATGGCACCCCCAAGCTGGTTGTGGGCCAGGTTGATGGCTCTCAGGGTTCCGTTCAGCGGGGGCAGCGTGCCGTTGAGCAGATTGTGGGAGAGGTCAAGCTCTCCGGTTACGCGCTCGAGCAGCAATGCAGGGATGGGTCCTGACAGCTGGTTGTGGGCTACGTTGATCGAGCCAGGGACAGTCACCGGCTGTGAGCGAAGGTAGGGTGGAAAGTAGGGCTCGGGTAGCAAGCCGGTGAGAAGGTTGTGTGAGAGGTCCAGCTCCTCGCTGACAGCTTCAAACAGCCTTCCGTAGATGTCTCCGGGCATCTGGTTGTGGGACAGGCGCAACACAGTCATGGAAAAGTCAAGGCCATAGACGAGGTCTTCCAGCGGCTCACTGATGCGGTTGTGGGAGAGATCGATGACTGCTGCTGTCCAGAGATAGCGGTAGGGGCTGCAGGAGAGGTTGTTGTGCGAGGCGTTGAGGAAGCTTAGGTGCATTGGGGACGGGGGGGGGTCGTTATAAGTGGCGAGTGTGCCCACATCGCCCGAGAGCTGGTTGCTGCTGACGTCCAGTGAGGTCAGCAGAGGGAACACCCCACCTAGGCCCCACAAGACAGGCGCACTGGAGGCAGCGGAGGCAGCAGAGGCGGCAGAGGCGGCAGAGGCAGCAGCGGTAGCTTCAGCAGCTGGGCCGGCGGCAGTAGCGAGGGTGGAGATGTCTCCCTGCAGGGCGTTCCCCTGCAGCTGCAGGTCCCTCAGCATCCACAGCGCGCCAAGCTGCCCTGGCATGCTGCCCTGCAGCCGGTTGTGGTCCAGAGCCAGGTGGCAGAGCGACGTCAGACTGCCTATGCTGGCAGGAATGGGGCCAGATAAAGTGTTCATGCCCACGTCCAGTGATTCTAGCGAGGGTGACAATATCAAAGAGCTGTTGTCTGGGATGCACGCCCCTGTGAGGTTGTTTTCCCGGAGGTTGAGCTCTTGTAACGAGGACAGGGCGTAGAGGGCGGGGGGAATGGCGCCAGAGAGGTGGCGGTTGGAGCTGAGGTCGAGGGAGACGAGGCGGGAGAGGAGGGAGAGGGAGGCGGGGAGGGAGCCGGAGAGCGTGTGGTGGGAGATGCGCAGCGAGGTCAGCCGGGTCAGCTGCCCCAACGCTGCCGAAAGCGACCCGCTCAGACCATTTCCCCCAGGCAAGCCCTTGAGGAAAAAGGGCACAGGGGGAGGAGAGGACAGAGAGTCGTGCACGCATGACCTGTCTCCGTATGCATCGAAGTCGCACTCTGGCGAGTCCGGCACGAAGGGGGCGTGCAGGGTGACAGTTTGGTCGCCCAGCAGGTGCAGGGTGTCCACGTGGCCGTCTGCCGTGCACCCCACGCCGTACCACGCACACGCGCTGCTGCTACTCTCTCCCCAACTGCTCAGCAGCGCCGCCCACGAGCTGTTTCCGCCATCCGCCACTGCTGCCCCAGCTGCTGCCCCGTCTGCTCCCCCCGCTGCTCTTCCTCCTGCGCCGCCGAGGAGTGCGTCTCGCACGGCCAGCAGCACAGCCGTCTCGGCAGCAGAGGCCTGCACGCCGGGAGACGGCGCTGGTAGGAACCCCGCGCCGACAGCACCCGCCATGGCGGCGCCGTTGTTGCTCATGCGCAGCCTCTCCCAGTCCTCGGGATTGTCATAGCCTCGGAACGTTGCATGCTTGTCCCTGCGTGCAGCAAACAGCGGCCCCGCAAGCTGGTTGAACCGCACGTCCGCACGGAGCAGCGGGCTGAAAAAGGCTTCCGGAATGCTGCCCGAGAAGTTGTTGTGGGACAGGTCTAAGCTCCCCTGGCGGATCACCGAGAAAGCTTTCAAGCTGCCCGAGAGGCTGTTCTGGTTCAGGTTGACATGCATGCCTGCAGCATCATCATACCCCATGGCTTTGCGTCCGGTCCCATCCACTTGCAGAAACAGGTCCGCCGGAACGCTCCCCTTGAGCCCGGCATGCGGCGCGCTGAGCACCCTTAGCTGAGCGGGCAGCGTGCAGCCGTGCAGACTGTTCTCCTGCCCCCCCTCCTCTCCGCCAGCGCCACTGGCACCCAGGGGGTTGAAGCCCACCCACAGCTCGCGCGCGGGCAGCAGCGCCTGGCAGAAGGGCCCAGTCAGCGCGTTGCCATCCAGCCGCGCCACGTCCAGCAGCTTCAGAGAGCTCAGCGCGGCGGGCACAGCACCGGTCAGCTGGTTGCTCCCGAGGTCCAGATGCGTGAGAGACGCCATGATGGTCAGCGTGGCGGGGATGGCGCCGGCCAGGCTGTTGCTGCGCAGGGAGAGCGCGCGGAGCCTCCAGGAATACGCCTCCGCGCCCCCCGGGAGGTCCCCCGTGAGGTTGTTGTGGGACATGTCAATGCGCCGCGGGCCGGCGAGATGGGTAATGGTGCCGGTGAGCAGGTTGTGAGAGAGGTCCAGCTCCCGGCGCACTGCCGCCACCAGCCCTGCGGGGATGGATCCGGACAGCTGGTTGTGCGCCAGCCGCAGCACCGATGGGTAAGTGGCGTTGCTGACGATGTCTTGCAGCGCGCCGCTGATGCGGTTGTGGGAGAGGTCCACAACCCGTGGCGACCAGAGCATGCAGCCAGGGCCGCATGTGAGGTTGTTGCGCGAGGCGTTCAAGTAGCTGAGACCCCATGGGAGAGGGGCGAGCGCCGCCGCATCGCCGGAGAGCTGGTTGCTGCTGACGTCCAGCCAGGTGAGACGAGGGAAGAGCCCGCCCAGCCCAGCAGAGGCGGCAGCAGCAGCAGCAGGCGCAGAGGCATTAGAGTCAACCGCAGCAGTTAGCGCGGTGAGGTCGCCCTGCAGGCGGTTCTGGTCCAGCGCCAGGTGCGCGAGGGAGGCGAGAGAGCCCATGCTCCCCGGGAACGACCCCGTCAGGCGGTTCATCCCCAGGTCGAGTTCCGTGAGCGCGGTCATTTCCGCCAGGGCGGAAGGGACGGCGCCGGACAGGCTGTTGCCGCGCAGGGAGAGCGCCTGGATGCTCTGCGAGTATGCGCCCGCCTCCCCCGGGAGCTCCCCCGTAAGGTTGTTGCCCTGCAGGCGCACCTCGCGCAGCGCGGGCGCGCGGAGAAGAGCATGCGGAAGGTCCCCCGAAAGCGTGTTGTTGGAGAGGAGAACCGCCTCCAGCGACGGCAGGAACGCGTCGGGGCCATCAGGAAGGGAGCCCGTCAGGCCGCCGCCGCCGCCGCCAATGGCGGTCAGATCCACGAGGCGCAGCGCCAGCAGGCGGAAGAGGCCGGGCGGGATGGGGCCGGAGAAGTCGTTCTCGGGCATGTCGAGTTCCGTCAGCTTCTGGAGGCGCGTGACGGAATCCGGCAGGTCGCCGGCGAGGCACGAGTGGCGGAAGACGAGCGAGGAGAGCTCCGCAAGGTCCCCGATGGCGGGCGACAGCGCGCCGGGCGGGCAGCTTCCCCCCCAATTCCCAGCGGGTCCCGGCATGTCGTAGCGGCTCGGATCGGAGAAGATGCGCGTGATGCGGCCGTCGGGCGCGCACCGGATCGCGCTGCCGCAGCGGCACGACGCGGGACGGGGATGCACGCAGCAGAAGGAGACGTTGCGGTGCGCGTCGAAGAAGGCGGAGTCGGACTCGTCCACGCCGTCGTGCCAGAAGAAGAGTCCGGCGGGCAGCGCCGCGAACACCGCGCGCATGGCGTCGCGGTCGCTGTCCGCTATGGCCACCACGCACCCGCCGGGGTCCGGCGCCACTGTGAAAGCGCGACACGGGCTGAGGAGGGCGACGAGAGCGAGGAGCGAGAGGAAGGGGGGGAGGGCGGGGAGGGAGCGAGGGAATGACGCCATGATGGAAGTGGAACGGCGCAGAGAGGGTTCCGAGTCGCAACACAGCGTTAACTTCGCTACGGCTAGAGGTACTAGAAGTAATACTAGTAGTGCGGCTGCAGCGTGAGACGGTGCGGCTTCTACTTACAGTACTAGCGGCGGAAATGCCCCACCAGCGCCAATGCCGAGCGCTTTTCTACAGCTTCTATGGGCGTGGATTGAGGGAGATCGGGGTGAGGAACAGCGTTGACCGCTACTACTACTAGTAACGACGTGGGCGGGGAAGGTAGGCCTTGGTGGCGGGAGGCCAGCGGAGGGGACGTGCTGTGTCGAAGCAGGTCTGCGAGGGCGGTGGGAGAGGGCTACAGGACGCGATCCTACCTGAGGCAGGTGTCTACTGCGCGCGCTACTATTAGTGCTGCTACTATTAGCAGCCATCGCGGCCCTGGTGCTGCTGAGGCTGCGGCCTAGCTCGTTCACAGTCGCGACGCACAGTCGGCCTGGTCGTCGCTAGAGGAATGCGGGTTGGTGGCTATGCCAGTCCAGCTAGACCAAGACGATCTCGCGGCTGGAGCAGCGACTGCGTAACGACGGCGAGCGAGGAATGAATGCGGGAGATTTTCTGTACTTGCAGTGCGAGTAGTGGAAAAGGTGGGATGTGAGAGACTGACTGTGAAGCGGCAGGACTCGAAGAGAAAGTTGTTGTAAGGGAGAGGACAGTTGAATGGAGCAGGTGAAAGGGAACAGCCGAGCAGTGGGGTAGGAGGAAGGCACGGGAGGGGGCGAGAGGGAAGTTGGTGGCTGGCTGGTGCATGCGCTTCGAGGAAACTCCAATGTGGCCAGAGAACCAGTATTATTGAAATAATGGCAGAAATGTACATGTAAGGGAAATTTCACTCATTCTAACCTCGTGTGTTCATCACTACAACATTCTGTCTCTTTCACCAGTGTCTTATCTTCCTCCTAGTAACGAATTAATATTCCTAATGCAGCACTCTATAGAGCGTTCCCAAACCCTCCCGTTCGACGGTCGGACAACTCCAGTTTGGTAAAATGGCAGGTGATTCATGAATCCCAGCAAGGGATGGCCATCGCCACGGCCTTTTTGAAGGCGTCGAGTCCTACATGCAGATTTGGCATTCTAAGAAGCATCACGATGTATTGCACGCCAACGATTCTCCGCTTGGCGACGCGCCAGTAGGCAGCATCATCTTGTTGGGCTTGGAGCACAGGGGGAGAAGGCACGAGCCTCAGCACGAGCGGCTGTGTCGAGGGGAGACGAGCACAGAGCATGGTGTTACTCGTCGTTGCTAAGAGTAACAATGTCGCCAAGCTTCCGTTCGCTTCCTGACCCCATGGCATCTTGACTACTAGTAGACCGCATGCGTCTGCGTCTGTGTCACTCAGCGTTCCAGATCCAATTCCCGAGTCTCCTCCTTAGCACTGCCTTTCTTCCGCCGTAGCCATTTATTACGCGCATCCCCCATTTCCACCCTGCTGCCTTGTGCCGCTCCCGCCACGCCTGGCGTATGGTGGCGCGACAACGCGCAGTGGTGGCGCTACCCGTTGCACCTCGAGAACTACATCCGCAACACGCTCTCCCGGGGGCTTTTGTCCCAAGATTTCGGGACCTTCACGCAGGGCGTGTACTCTAACGGCACGCGCTATACTGCAGGTATGCGCGCCATGAAGCAGCGCAACGTGGAAAGAGGGTATACGCGCAAGATTAAGGTGATTGGCGGCCCGCAGCTTGCGCCTGCGCCGTCACAGGCCTTGGGGATGCCGAGCTAGCAGGTAACATACCGAGCCAGCAGGTAAGATGCCAAGCCAGCAGGTAACTGTCAACTTATACATATGTGATGAACGTATAGTTATAGACTAGAAGGGTAGGTGCTCTTAGAGAGTACAACAACAAACCCTTATATTACCCTGTATGCCTCTCCTAGAGTTCACATTGTGTCACGCTAGGTAGGTCCCACCCATCCACGCTTCCGCCCTAGCCTACCTTAGCCCTAGCGCGCCCCGCCCTTAGAACGACCCGACCTTTAGCGCGCCCCGCCCTTAGCGTGCCCCGCCCCTAGCGCATCGCGCCACGCCCTAGCGAGTTGCCGCGCCGGCCCCCTGCTTGTCGCACTGGCCTCATCTCGCCGCCGACACCTTCTCACCACGTCGGGCCCTGCTCGTCGCGTTGGCCTCGACTCGCCGAGCTGGTCCCAGCTCGCCGCGTCAGCCTCAGCTCGCCGCGTCGGCCTCCAACTCGCCGCATCGGCCCCCATTCGTCGCGCCGGCCTCAGCTCGTCGCGTCGGCCCCCAGCTCGCCGCGTCGGCCCCCCCTCGCCGCGCCGGCCCCAGCTCGCCGCGCTGGCCCCTGCTCGTCGCGCCGGCCCCTGCTCGCCGCGACGGCCCCAGACAGTGCGGGCAATGAGCTTATCCGTTCGAGAGTCGCGAACATGGACTAGGCAGCCCCGGACGTGAAACGCAGACGCGTCACCAGGGGACCCGGTCCAGAGAAGGGTCGGCGAAACCTATGACTGCTGGGAGCGCGACCACAGGTTAAGCTGGTGAGCAGCATATTGCACTGCGAACGGTCACAGAAAATGGGGTGCACCAGCGTGGACCATGGAGGTGTGAGCTACCTCCATGACCAGGCCGATGCGTCGCTGAGCGACCCCGTTCTGCTGTGGGGAGTCCGGGAGTGTGTACGACTAGGTAATGCCCTCCGCACGACAGAACTAGCCAAGGCGACCAGAGGCAAACTCACCTCCACGGTCGGAGTGTGGACAAAGCACAGGCTGGGCACGGCGGACTCGGGCAGCTATAAGCCACGGGATAAGAATGTCAAGCATTTCGGCCTTCCGTGGTGTAGCGCGAGCAGTCGTCAACGAGAACCAGGAAGTAGCACTCACAACGCGACCCAGGGACCGGGGCAGGGCCTTAGAAGTCCAGGTGCAGGGTCTGAAGTGGCGCAGTAGTGGGGGGAAACGAGGAGGAGTGAGAAGCAGCGTGCTGCCACCCCTCGACGGAAGGCGTGCACGGAGGTGCGGTCGAGGGAGGGAGCAGGGAGTCATGCAGTGAGGCCTAAGACAAGACCGCGCTGGGACATGTGACGGAGGCGCGGGAGAGCGGGTGACCTATACTATGGTGCCTTAGTAGCGACGGATGAGTGAGCGACTGACACGAGCAAGCCGCAGCGACCTGAGCAGACACAGCCACATGGGGGGACGCAGCCACCTCGAGGGACGTGGTGTCCAGCATGAACAGGCCAGATACAGGGTCCATGGGAAATGGGTGAGGGGAGCACCAATGGCGGCCTCTATACAGACTGCGTACCGCTCGTGTCCAGGAAACGTGGTGGTGAGGCCGAGGTCCTGAAGATAGCCGACACCAACCAGGTTCCTGGAAAACGAGGGGATGTGCAGACCTGTAAGAGAGCCAGAGGGAACCGCCAGACAGGGAAGTGTGGTGGAGCTGCGTGCGACTACCAGACCGGAGAAGAGGTCTACTGACTTTGGGGGTCCCGGTGCTCCGAGTGCGCTGTCTATTTCTGTGGTGCCTGCACCCCTGACCCCAGTGCCTCCGTCGTCGCAGCCACAGCCGCCGCAGCAGCAGTAGTCGCCGTCGCTGCAACAGCAGAAGCCGGTGGGCTCTGAGGGTGTTGGCACTTGGGGTGCCGGTTCTAAGGGGGGTGCTAGTTGTGGGGGTGTTGGTCCTGGAGGTGCGGTCTTGGTGAGTACCGGCGGTAGCCGCGGCTGGGCAGGAGGTCTTCGCGTGGACGCGGAGCAGTAGCAGCAGCAACCGCCATCGCAGCAGCAGCAGCAAGTATCCGCCCTTCGCCTCCTCGGTCTTCCCTCCCCTTCCTCCGATCGACCACCCGCGTCTCCCTCGGCCCCGCCTCCTCCCCTTGTCTACGGTCCCGTATTCCCTCCTCCGGACTCATCTCCGGCTCATTTCCCCCCTCGTTCTCCTCCTGTGTCTCCTCCGTTGTCTCTTAACCCAACGCCTCCCTCACACTTCTTGTCTCACAGTACCTCTCATGCTCGCCCTGTCTCTACCGCTCCGAGTGTCCACCCTATGTTTCTCCGTTCCCACGTGTGAGAGTACGACCCCGCTACACTCCTTTCTCATTTCCATCTTTCTGCTCCATCTCATTCTTCTTTTTATCTTGCTTCCTTTGGTCTTTATCTCATCTCATTTGGATTCCTATTCCTCATTTTCCATTGTCCTTTAGTTTATCCTATTATTCTAACTATATCATCGACCAGGCTCGGGATGTACTTGCACGATATATCTTGCGTAATCCTGCCGCAATCCCTTAAAGCCAATAGCCTCGCGTGGCTATGCGCAGGGTGATTCTATTTCTAGAAGGGTCTATTCCCATTGGATAGGGTAAACTTGGTTACCTGATGTACCTTGGAAGTATAAAAGCGCCTTGTATTCATCGATAGTGCAACTTTTCCTCGACACATTCAATCATGTGACACTTGGTATAAGAGTTTTTCTCACTCGGCCGCGCTACGCTAAGCAGCAGCAGCGGGAACACCTGCCTCAACAAACCGTCGGGGGCGACTACAGGAACTCGGCGCCGATTCTGGTAAGCACCAGCTCCGCATTTTTTTAATTAACCCCTCCGCGCGTGTTTTGAACAGGATGGCGAACTTCGACAACGCCGAGGTTACCCAGCAGCTCTTCGCGCGCATCGCCGCCCTATAGAAGGAGATGCGAGCCGACCGCGAAGCTTGGCGAAATGAGTTCGAGCGAGTAACTCGACTCGCCGGCGCGCAGCACAAAACGACAACAGCGACGACGCAGCAGTCGCAATGGTTCTCGAGGCTCCGAAGTTGCGCCCACCTATGTCGTTCGATCCGAGCGATCGAAACTCCGACATCAGCAGATGGATCGCTGGCATGGATATCTACTTCGAAGCCGTCGGATGGAGCTCGCCAGTGTGGGACGATCAACGCGTACGAATTGCCGCGATACTGATGCAAGGGCGGCACTCAAGTGGATTGGCGGCAACTGTACCTTCATCCACGGTGAAGCCACGTGGGAGTAGTTCCGCACCGACCTGCTGAAACGTTTCGAGCCGATAAATTCCGGTTTCCTTGCCCGGTAAAAAAATCACCGCCATCGATTGTTCGGGAGTGTAGCACAGAACACGCAGCAGATGGAAGAATTTTATAACCGCATTCCCGACCTGACCGAAGGGGAAAAAGTACAGTCGTATCTTGACGAGTTGAAGACTGAAGTCAAACGACAAGTAGTAGCGACGAATTACGCGAGCAAAAGTGACGTCGTATCGGCGACGGAGCGATTTGACATGGTCAACGCCGGGACACGACGGGAGCACGTTGGCAGTACGCGACAAGGCGACTGCTCGGCTCACCCCACGTTCGCCGACCCGATGGAAATCGACAGGTTCGACGGGCGGCCACGTCCGAAAAACACCAACTTCACGTGTGATTTTTGCTGGGTGTCGGGCCATCGAATCTTCAACTGCAACAAAATGAAAGCCGCACATACAGCGTATCGGGCGCGCAACCGTGGCGGAAATTGTTTGGCCAATCAGAAGACAAAGAATGGGAATCGCAAGTGATTGCGGATCTAGCTGGCGAAAAAGAAAAGATCCGAAAGCGGCCGCGGGATTCCGGAAAAATCAACTTCAC